ATATATATATATATATATATATATATATATATATATATATACATACACACATACACACATACGCACACATACACACACACACACACACGTGTAACTGTAGATCGTAGGGGCCCCATAGCAAAATTTTGACGGGACACCTCAGCAAACTTCCTACTGTCAGTCAGGTAGTAGGAGAGCTGTCTGCATTGTCTTCTCCTGTATATCTGCTGTCAGCTCTTCTTGATTGGAAATGTCACACAGGGTTCAGAGTCACGTTCTATAGCAACTTCTGCAATCCTTAATAGTGCCCCTTTTCAACCCTAGGCCCCATAGCAGCCACGTGGGCTGCTATGGTCATCGTTAGGCCACTGTGTGTGTGTGTATACAGTATACAGAGTATACAGTGTGTGTGTGTGTGTGTGTGTGTGTATGTATGTATATATGTATATACAGACATTTAGATCGAAAAAAGAAACAAGTCCATTGAGTTGAACCACTCGATAAAAAACGAATAAGTAAATACAAAAACTTCATTAATAGAACAGTTGTTGGACGCTGTATAACCGGCCAAGAGATATGTACATTTTGCCCAGCCAGTCGGCAAACCCAATTAATCAGAGCGTATAGCTGGGCCAGTGACCTAATTTTTGTCACTGTAATTTAGTATAACACTTTGGTCACCGATCGCCTCCAGACCGCTGATTGGACAGTTTATAAAGATCACACACACATATGAGGTCATCACTCTGCTCACTCTGCTTTCTTCTCCTGGCAGCAAGGTTCTGGTATTGGGTTGACAGCAGTTTGCTGCATACAAGAGCCTGATTGCTTAACTGTGTATCAAAATACTTCGGTTTAGGGAATACATGACCATCTTTTATGTCTTCCTGGAGTTCTCCTTTAAGGTCAACTTCAAGCAACAGGTACATTTAATCAGTAGACTGCTAATCCTTTTCACAGCAAATGTGCCATGGACAGACACGTTGCCCTCTTTTTACCTCCCATTTATAAACGAGAGCAAAACAGGAAGTTTAATTGTTGGACTAAAGTAAAAAAAAAAAGGTGAAAGCAGACAGAATGGCAAAAAAGAAATAAGAAAATGTGCAAAATAAACATCATAACACATAAAAAAACCTCTCCACCTTGAGGGAAATTCCTTCTCTGACTTTCCTCTATTGAAAACAATGGCTTACGCCAGGATAAGTGCGGTGAAAATGATTGACAAAATGTTTTTTTTGGGGGAAAAAGGGCTTCAATTTTTATTAGCTGGCAACGTCGTTTGCCATAAAAACTCGATGAGGTTATTATAAGGAGAAAATAAGTAGAGAAATTGCCCGGAATAGCATCATAAACAGGCAAAACTGTTGGAATCAATGTTCCCCCTTGCCAATAATGGCAAAATGTCAGTTCTGACCTTTTATAAATGGGCCTCGGAGGATCATTAATGTAGGCAGACGTAGCGTTGAGCGCTTCAGGCCCCCTCTGGCCTGAGAAGGGTTAACGCCATCTGGCGCACAGGCGCGAGGCACCTGGATTTCCTTCCAACATGTTGTGCGATAAGAAAAACAGTCGGAAAACCCTTTTTATATGTCTTTTTTTTTGGGGGGGACGGGGCTTGAAAGTCAAATAATCAGCTTCCATACAACTGCCAGATCATATATTTGTAGAGGAGAGTTCCCCACTTAACTTTAATCTCGCGGCGGAAAGCAGAATTACTTGTACTCTTGGTGGACTTTCTACAGAATCCATTTGCAGAATTGACGGTGCCAAAATGTCTACCTACGTGAGGGCCGCCCGAAGGAGCTGCCTGTTAGCGGCCTCTTCGTGGACTCGGTGCTGCCATCAGAAGTCACGGGCAGGGCTGGATTTCCCACAAGGCCAACCGAGGCCCATCCTTGGGGCAGCAAGGAGTAGAGGGGCAGCCGGGGTGTGGAATTCATATCTCCCGATGCCTGGGACATGCAGTTGTTTTCTACATTTAGTCCTGCTTTGGGCGAGCAGGGCTAAATGTACAGCGGGGAAGCCGGCGCTTGTTTTGTACAAGTGATCTCGGCGATGTCACCGAGATCACTTGTATGCAGCCTGTATACAGGGGGGGCGCATTGAGGAACCTGGCATTGGGGCAGCAGAGAGAGTAAATCCAAACCTGGTCAAAGGTCACAGCAGGAGGTGGGTAAAGGTGCTGCATCTCCCTACCTGGCAATTAGAATTCTGGGGCGCTCTGGCTGGCATCCCGCCCAGCTCCGCCAGCCAGAGCATCCCAGGTTGCTAAAAGCTGAGCGGAGAGATGTGTATGGTCCTTACACATCTCCCCCTTCAGCTCAACCTGGGAAGCTCTGGCCGGAAAACGGGGTCGCAGACGCACTGCAAACATCTGCCATGCCCCTCTGCCTGCCACTCCCCCCCCATGACCCAAGGAGATGCCACCTGAGGCCCTGAATGCAGGAAGTGTGCATGTATGCCATAGATGTAGTTGCTATTCATTACTGCAATTTGCAGATGACGCTTTGCTCCTAACACAGTTTATTAAACAAGCCGCATAGACTCACCATCAATCTGTCTGCTGATCTCCACACAGTTCAGCACCATCTGTCTGTACTCCTCGGGTCTGTTCAGCAGAGCGTCTGCGGCCTCCAAATTAACAACATCTTCCAGCACGGGATTGGAAAGTAGAACCTGGAATCCCAGGTACAGAGAGACAAAGGAAAATATGTTAGCAGAGTGCTGGATCAGAAGGTGGGGGTTGAAGTCCAAAATCAGGAGGCAGCTCTTTGCCTACTGGGGTGCCCTCAAGGGTCTCGAGGATTGTCTGAGAAATGTGGAAAGGGTGAGATAGCCACAGCACTAGTATGAGTCCAGGAGAAGACTCCAACGTGTTTCAGGGGCTCAGAATCTCATAATGGGCTTAAAATGCCAGCGGTGACTTGAAGATAAACCTGGTCAAGAGTTATTGTGAATAAGAACATAGGAATTGTAGCCATTAAAGTCACCGGTCAGGAGTTCTGAGCCCCGAAACATGTTGGCTTTGTTCCTTGTCAAATACCATAGAAATCTACTGGACTCATCATAGAGCCGGGGCTCTCTCATCCTTTGATTTATAATGACCATCACCTGGACAGATCATAGCTGGTAGCAGTTAGTTATAGCCAACCTTTGCTACTTATGCAGGTGGTTTCCTCCGTCCCAGGAACATATCAGAAGGGATGGAGGGAAGGGGAAATCGAGCATCTTTGCTCATTCAGCCTACGAGGCTGAATGAGCAAAAATGAATGGTGTCTAGTCAGCTTTACCCCGCTGTAAAGTTAATTTAACCTTACCATTGCAGAGACATGGCCTTGGAAAGTAATTGTCTACTTACACTTCAAAGGACTGGAATAACACCCTTGCATTGCACTTATTTGAAGTAAAACTACATTGCATGAAACATCTGTTTCTTCAGAGTAAAGCTGGTTGTGGATTCTGCAGTCAGCAAGTAGCCATACTGTCCACACAGAGTCGTTCTAGGAGGTAAGTCATTGCATATATCAGCATTGAAACGGAACACCCCCATCATGGTTTTGGACAATCAACATCTGCCTTGACACATTGCAAGTGACAATGATAATTAAAATAAGATATCATAGTTACCCATGGGTTTATCATTTATCAGGTATGTTCCTACACTCATTAGCGCTGAGGAACTTGGATGTGCGGTGAAATGTCTTCCACAATTCACATCAAGTCCTGCTGAACATGACTAACTTATTTAAGAGTAAAGCTGGCTGTGGGTTCTGCAGTCAGCAAGTGGCCATGGTGTCTGCAAAGACTGGATCTAGGAGGTATGTCATTGCATATACCGGCAATGAAACAGAACACCCCCATCATGTTCTTGGACAATCAACACCTGGCTTGGCACATTTCAAGTGACAACGGTAACTAGGTTTAGATGTCTGCGTTACCCATGGGTCTATTATATATGGAGTATGTTCCTACACTCATTAGAGCTGAGGAACATGGGTGAGCGGTGAAATGTCTTCAATAATACAGGACAAGTCCAGTTGAATTTGACCAACTACCACCAGCCATACCAAGACCTGTATGAATGTGAACCATAAAAGTCCTGGACCCGGACAGCAGAGCTTCCACATGGATATTGCCAGCTATTGTCCTGTACCTGGATGGCCAGCAGCACATAGCTCATGGTGTATCGCGGGTTCCAGTCTGACGGCTTGTCCAGGAAATCGACACAAGGCTGTCCGGTTCTTGGATCGACTGTTGGAAGAGAAAACATTTCAAATGTATTTTAAAACTTATTTTTATTGAAGAATCGAAATTCATCATAAAAACTTATAAAAACATAAAAACAACATAAATCCATTTCAGCTAGATGTGGACATAATGTCAGCGTGTTAATGTGGCGTGCAGAACATACAACAACATATAACCATTACAGCTGAACTCCCAGCAAACACTTCAATAGCTAAAAGGCATATTATGGGAGCTGCTTTACCTGCCAAATAATTAGTTTTTCTGTCCATTAGACATGTGCCATTTCATTCGTTTCCGAATCAAAATTCGGACGAGTTTTCCGAAATTCGGACACATCCGAATTTCCGAATCCCAATGCATCCAAATGTGTCCGAATCTGAATTTCCGTTTCTGAATCCCGTCAAAAACGAAACTGAATCGAACATGTCCCGAGGTCGTCATCGCGCACGCGCGACCGTCTGATTGATGCCTGCCTCTTGGTGATGGACGTCGGCAGAGAGAGGAGGGGACGTTCACCCGGTGGGATGTGGTATGCCGCCGGGCCCCCTCCTCTCTCCTGAAACTGTCCGGCTCTTAGTCCATGACCGAGTGCCCGACTTTTTGGAGGGGGGGGGGTGAAACCAAAATAACTGTCAGTCATTTTGGTGTCACCCCTGCACCCACCTTGTGACACCACTGCATTTACAGTATATACATATAATACTAAAGCTGAGGCTCCCACAACCGAATGGTATTCAGGATCCAAATTTCCGAATTGCATTGGGGAGCTCCTGAATACCATTCGGGTCTGGGAGCCTCCGCTTTAGTACTATATGTATAGGGCTCCCAGACCTGAGACCAAGATGGCCGCCGGCAGGCATCTTCAGATGGTCGAGCATGTGCGATGATGCCACGGCGGGGTGTCACCCGGACATCCGACCTCGGGACACCCCTGGATGGAGGTCAGATATAATACAGAAGGGAAGGCCGGAGGTCAGGTTAAAAAACAAAAGTTGGACATTCACTTTAAACTATAAAGAGGCTCCAGAGCACAATTTGGGGGAATTTCATGTCCCGCTGGTGAAGGTTGTTTCTGTCGGATATTACTCAGCGTCCCTCTCGGCGGATGTAAAGAATATCACAATGTACATCTGTCTATGACGAGTTGGGTTTCGCCGTCCAAACAAGTATCAGGTATGACAGATGGGAAATCCCGCCAGAGAGTTGAGCTAATAGGGTTTGGGAGCCGCTCAGGACAGGCGCTGGAATCACGACAAGCCTAGCGGACAGGCGCTGGAATCACGAGAAGACGAATAACGCCCGGCGGACAGGCGCGGCCAAGAAAGAGAAATCCCGCTGAGCGCTAATTGTGTGTTACATGGATACATGACATTGTAAAAATATCTGCGATCCCTTCTGTAAGGAAAAGGAAAATGTTATAAGCTTCTACCTGCCGGGTACATGAGTCTAAACATGAAGACTTTTCCCCATATGTGGCCTGTCCTGCATCTCGACAGTGTCAAGATTTTTAAAGGAGGACTCCAGGCAAATCAAAAACTTACCCTTGCTGTGGGGCTACCCGGCACTGCACAGGGTTCGGCACTCGTTTTGTTTATGGGGCTCAAACAAAGCAGATTAACTTACCTGGTCCCGACTCACTCACTGTTCTCCCCTCCGCTCCAGCTGTGGTATTGTCCCTCGGCATCCTCACATCTAATGCAATAAGACGGGATGACATCAGCGGTCCTCAGAGTGCCGGAGCCCAGGGAAGAAGAGGATGTGGGGACCAGTCTAGCAGTTAGGCGGAACCAAGAATCATCAGGTGAGTATATCTGCTTTATGTGATCCCCTAGACAGAACAAGCAGTTAAACCTTGCAGTGTGGGTGATTCAGGCGGCTGAGCTGCCACCAGATTGCTTCGGGGGGCCAGTGTAGTGTGCCTCCCCATCCAACACCCTCGTCTGGCTTCCTGGGCTCCGCTGCCCAGCCTGTGGGCCCAGGAATGGCATCGCTGGTGTCGAGGGGAATTGGGGAAGGAGATCAGCGTGCATCTGTTTGGCAATCTCCTCCAGGATGAATGGGGCTGGAAGCGATGCTGATTGTATCACTTCCAGTCTCTCAGCTGTCATTCCCCAGGGAAGAAGCTATTGAAGGGTGATCTGCACTCCAACGGCCTCTTTGGAGTGGAAAGGTGACGCTAGGGGTCTAGTTGACCCCTAATGTCACCCTAAGGAGAACCTGTCACCTCCGATGTACTATCACATAAGGGGCTTGTAAGCCCCCTTATGTGATAGCAATTAGGTAAAAAACAAAAAAGCAGCAATTAGAATGGAAGAGGAAGGACCAACAGTATCAGTCAATCTGGGATCTCTTTCATTGCACAGTGCTGTCAGTCTAACACATGGAATGTTTTCATATGAGAGGAGCATGGCTAACTTAAAATGAACCCAGCATCAGTTATATCAGGATAAATCCTGGTGCCATGTCTGACACAGTTCAGCCCCCTGCTGCAGCCTCTCACCTTGTGACTTGTCACAAAGTTACAATGTTGCAGACTGATCACTGACTGAGTGGAGACTGAGGAAATGCTTCCTCCTGCCTGCAGCAGACTGATCACTGGGGGAGGGGAGACTGAGGAAATGCTTCCTCCTGCCTGCAGCAGTCTGATCACTGGGGGAGGGGAAACTGAGGAAATGCTTTGGGGGGGGGGGGGGGGGACTGAGGAAATGCTTCCTCCTGCCTGCACCAGACTGATGACATCATCAAACTTGTAAAGTCACAAATTAACTCCATTTTAATCAGTCAAAAAAGAGTGACTTACTCCAGTTTAATCAGTGGTGCTCTATCGCTGTCCAATCCGCAGGCTGGGGCAATGGAGGTGACACCACTATATTCCTTATTTGTATCAGGAAAAATGGTGTCAGTCTCCTGCCGGAGGTAGATGTGTATTAATCACAAATGGGTCCGAACAGAGTCGCTGATATTTTGTCAGGTGTTTGCCTGGAGTTCAGCTTCATGATGGTGCTTTAGAAGGAGTAAAGTTTTGCTTTGCATGTAAATTGAATATGATATATTTTTGTTATTTGCATACTAGTATTAAAAAAAAAATCAGTTTTGGGTGGATTGGCCCTTTAAGCCGTTCAAAGGGAGAGAGGAGCTCCATTCAGGTGTTTCCTGTAATGAATCCATGACACACCACGGCGGCTGCCCTGTGCACCGCAATCCGCACACCTAAAACACAGAAGGTCGAGGTGACATCTGCAGATGATTACACCAAATCCACAAGAAATAGGATTCAGCGCTCCGGCTCTGTATGTTTTATCTCTGAATTGCATTACAAGAAAGAAACCGACAAGCTCATGAAAAGCAAAGGCACGTGACTGAAGATTGCAGTGGGGTCATCTGTAACATAGAACTGCCTGTACACAGTATATGAGACTTGGGGTGGATCATCTCTTTTACACCCTTCGCTTCGTCTGCTGGTGTGCGTGCCCGGCACAGTGCTCATGCGTTTGATTGAGATGCATCGCACTGATTTTTTATTATGTTAGAAGTTTATTAAAATGTCACAAGTGACATTTCATTAAGTTCTATGGGCACACCGCGATGTGACGCCATTGTACCACGTCACACTGCTGTACACTGAATGCCGTACACCACTGTACACCAACGCACCGCAATGAGATGGCGTGAACTAAGCCTATCTAACACAAGGCAAATTGCCTTGTCTTGCGTTGCAGCTGCACTGTGAAAATGCCAAACACAGCCCCAATGCAATCCATGTGAAAGGGGCCCAGAGAGATACAAAGTAACATTGTTTATAAACATTGATCAGAGGGAGATAGAGAGATACAAAGTGACATAGTTTATATACATTGATCAGGGGAGAGATAGAGAGATACAAAGTGACATAGTTTATATACATTGATCAGGGGAGAGATAGAGAGATACAAAGTGACATAGTTTATATACATTGATCAGGGGAGAGATAGAGAGATACAAAGTGACATAGTTTATATACATTGATCAGGGGAGAGATAGAGAGATACAAAGTGACATAGTTTATATACATTGATCAGGGGAGAGATAGAGAGATACAAAGTGACATAGTTTATATACATTGATCAGGGGAGAGATAGAGAGATACAAAGTGACATAGTTTATATACATTGATCAGGGGAGAGATAGAGAGATACAAAGTGACATAGTTTATATACATTGATCAGGGGAGAGATAGAGAGATACAAAGTGACATAGTTTATATACATTGATCAGGGGAGAGATAGAGAGATACAAAGTGACATAGTTTATATACATTGATCAGGGGAGAGATAGAGAGATACAAAGTGACATAGTTTATATACATTGATCAGGGGAGAGATAGAGAGATACAAAGTGACATAGTTTATATACATTGATCAGGGGAGAGATAGAGAGATACAAAGTGACATAGTTTATATACATTGATCAGGGGAGAGATAGAGAGATACAAAGTGACATAGTTTATATACATTGATCAGGGGAGAGATAGAGAGATACAAAGTGACATAGTTTATATACATTGATCAGGGGAGAGATAGAGAGATACAAAGTGACATAGTTTATATACATTGATCAGGGGAGAGATAGAGAGATACAAAGTGACATAGTTTATATACATTGATCAGGGGAGAGATAGAGAGATACAAAGTGACATAGTTTATATACATTGATCAGGGGAGAGATAGAGAGATACAAAGTGACATAGTTTATATACATTGATCAGGGGAGAGATAGAGAGATACAAAGTGACATAGTTTATATACATTGATCAGGGGAGAGATAGAGAGATACAAAGTGACATAGTTTATATACATTGATCAGAGGGAGATACAGAGATACAAAGTAACATTGTTTAGATGAGATATCTCATGTGATCTCTACTGAGGAAGAGGATCTCAGTTCAGATGTGCTGATCCTTCACTTCAGTAGAGATCATGTGATGAACTGCCCAGGCCTTCACTTATGTAGCTAGAACTGAAGGGAGCCTAGAGCAGCATTTTCTCCATTACAGGTAAGCTTTTCCACCATTCCATTACTATTTACGTGTTATTTTCTGCTAACATAGCATTATGTTACCATAGGTTAGCATCACCGCTCAGATGGTTCATTCATGATGTTCTTACCATTTGGGTGAAATGGGATGGTGTTGAATATAACAGTTGGGGGGACGTAGTTGTATTCTTCTGTGTATGACAAGGAGACCTGGAGAGCAGCCCCTGGGAATGATACAAAGTAAAAGATTTGCAATTAAAGAATTATTAAACACTACAAAAAATGTTTTCAATATTTAATTCAGATCAAACAAATATAAATTGCCCAGCAAAGTATTTCTTTACATTTTTGCCAAAACACTTAGTCATCATGTTTCTGAACAACTCCAACTCTCTCAGCTCAGTTTCCCTGAACTTCCTGTCCAGTGCAAGATCAAAAGGGACAGAGCAGTCTCCAGCAGCCAT